TCCCCAAAACTCACAAACCAACCTTTCTGAGGTAATTACTCTAATAAACTGGTTTTCAGGTGTTTCAGATTATTCACTTAACTGGTCAAAATCTACAGTTCTTCCAATTAACTGCTCCTTCCATAATTCTTCTTCTGCCCCACTACAATCTGGAAATATTAAATATTTAGGTATTAATGTCTCTCCTAAGCTTTCAGACTTAACTAAATTAAACCACATCACACTTCTAAAGAAAGTAGAAGGCGATCTGACTAGATGGAAATCTTTACCCATATCACTCATGGGAAGGGTCGCCACTATAAAAATGATGAACTTGCCAAAAATAAATTACTTATTTTTAATGATCCCTAACAAACCATCACAAGATTGGTTCAGATCTCTGGATTCGTATATTTCTAAATTCCTTTGGAAAGATAAACCCCCGCGTATCATCTTAAAAACACTTCAAAGAACCAAGGATAAAGGAGGATTAGACTACCTTATTTTCAACAATATTTCTTAGCCAACAGGCTTCAGTTCATCTCAGGATGGTTAAAACGTACCTTCTTAGATGAGCCCTGGCTAGATGTTGAACAGGCACTATGCAATGATCTAGAGATCTCAGACCTACCATTTATCAGCTCAAACATCAAAAGACATGAATGGTTCAAAAGCATCAACATCAGTTCTTCTCTGACAGCATGGTGGGAGTTTCTAAAAATAACGGAGTCTTCATTAATCCCATGCAAACGTACACCTATCTGGAATAACCAGATAGGCGCCATCACCTAGCGGGGGTGGGGGGTCATTGTTTGGTCCCGCCTTCGCCATTGTGGTTGATGTGGAGGTAGGGACGGGCTTAGGGCGTCTGGAGAATCCCTAGGGACGTTATCCCTGGAGGGCTTAACCCAGGGGTTGTGGTCATAACCTGGTTAGTGGCTCTGGTTGCTCTTAGAGGGTGTTCTCCTTGTGGCTGCGTGCAGCAGGGCTGGGGAGGGTCTGTGCTGGTGGACGTAGGTTACTGGCCTGGTAGCCTGGCTGCCCCTGAGTAAATCCGGGGCAGGCGTGGGGGCTTGGGGTTCGGGGGTGCTTCGCCTCCGTGCTGGGGCTCTGGCTGGGCCTTGGGGGCTTAGGTCCCTGTTGGTGTGTTGCCAAGGTTGTGGGCGGGTGGGTGCACGGGGGCTCAGCCTTGGCGCAGGGGGCCTCTGGCGCATCTGCCTAACTGGGGGGCTCTTTAACTGACAGGGAGTTTGTTCCATCCTTGCAGGAGTCCACTCTGCAGGTGGGGGAGAGTATAGGAGAGGTGGGGAATAAACTTAACCTGGGTGTCTACTGTCTTGTGCAGTCTGGGAGATGATTAAATGTTAGGGTGGGTACAGTTTCCTCTGTGGTGGGGTCAGGTGGGCTGCCCCGGGTCCTGTGGGGTTGGGTGATCCTGCTGCCGTAGGCCCAGATCTTGATGGGCGTGGGCTCCCTTGCCTTGGTGGGTGCCGAAGGACGGGGGTGCCTATTGGGGTCAGCGGGGGAGCTGGCCCCAGGGAGGGGCATCTTGCTCCTCCCTTCTTTTCCTCCCCATCCCAGGCTGCCTCCCTCTTCCCGCTCCAACGCACCCACCCACTCTAGTAGGGCCTTGGGGTGTGGGTGTGTCACCAGGGTGCAGGGGAGGCATCCCCCCCCCCGTCCCCTTCTGGCAACCTGTGCCTCAATTTTATTCCACAACTCAGACATCCACATTACTCACAGTCTCATAACACATACATATAGGGCCTTGAGGGTGGGCACGTTAACAGCGTCCAGTGGACGGTCTGTGTATTCAACCCCACCTCTGGCGCTGGTGCCCACCTCTCAATTTTAAATCCATGTAGACATTGAGGGTTCTCGGGAGGGGCCGTGCTAACACCTGCTGCTCTCTGGCAGCAGCACCATGCTCTCCCGTGTTTTAAATCCACCTTGAGCGAGAGGGGGGAGGTATGGGGTCTTCACACACCCCTGTTCTCTGCTGGCCATCTGGGCGGGGGGGGCTGGGAGAAGGTGTTGGCCGTCCGATTGGGATCTGGGATGCGGGGCCTCCCTGCTGCTGTGGAGCCTGGGGCGGTCTGCTTGCCTCCACCCCGGGGGAAAGGGTAACATCTCCTGGGTCTAGGTGCCGTTTCCCCCTCCAGGGGTGAGGGTACCTGGACCTGGGGTATAGAGTTTGTTTGGGGAGTGTGATTGTGTGTACAGTGTCCATGTATGTCTATCCCTACGTTGAGTGAATGCTGAGTATTTGTATATGTGTGCATGAGGGTGGTAATGCATGTTTGTGTCTGTGTGTGCCGGTTTGTCTGTGTCTATATGTCAGGTCGGGTCTTAGACTCCACCTCTCTGGGAACTCCCAGGCCCTCCAAGGCCTATCTCCCCTCACCAAACTCCCTGCCGGTAACTGATGCCCTCAGGGGTCGGTACGTTGGTGGTTCTTGGTGTCCGGGGCTGGGCGCTCAGGTATGTACCAGCTCACTCCCGGTGACTACTTGGTGGGGCCTGGTGCCTGTTGGTCGGTCAGGCCTCTTCCTGGGGCAAAGGGGGCCCTCGGGCCTCCGGGCCTGCGGCTCGGTTCACTCTGGCACAGCTGGCTGCCGGCAGGGCCGGCGGGCACGCCACTGCAGCCCCCTCTGGCTTCTGCTCCGTGGCTACTGGGTGACCCCTCATCTGGGGCTCTCCTCAGCTCTTCCCAGGAGGGTGGCACAGATGCCCCTCCGGTGGTCCCCCTTGGGCTCTCGCACTCTGGGGCCTCTGGATGTCTGGAGGCTGGATTGCCTCCATGCCTGCTTCATGCCCTGGGGGACGGGGCTATGGCTCTCTACATCCTCTAGCACAGTGGTTCCCAAACTTTTTTTTGCTGGGCCCCCCTTTGTTTTACAAGAAAAATGTTCGCGCCCCCCCGCGTGCAAGCACACGCACGCGCACATCCTCCAACCACACACAACCATATTTTGCTCCATTGCGGTTTATTTCACACCTCAAACATTTAGTAAACAATTAAGCAAATACAAGTAATCTGCAATAAATTACAGGTAGTAAGAAAATAAACTACTAACTCTTTTACGCTACGTCCACACCTACATGGGTATTTTTGAAAACGCAGCTGTTTCGTCCACATAAACGACGTTTCGAATCACCGAAAACTGAGATTTTTTTTAAAACTCCCTTTTTGCATTTATGTGTGGACGAGGAATACAGAGTCTGCTCTAGCAGACCATTACATGGGGAAACCTTTTGAATACAAGCGCGCTGATCCACACAAGTGTGCACACGGGTGTTCACTGTTCATAGACATAAACTACACCTCTATCAACAACATTCAGTATTTAGTATTTACTGCTGTTTACACTTAGCTAGATTAACGTGATGGTGTTGTGTTTAGTATGTTGCTCTGTTTTTTTTTGCTTGTTTTCTCTTCTTCTCTTTTTAAGTGCCCTTTTTCACTAAAAAAAAGAATAAAATAAAAACGTGGATAAAAACTTCATCCTTAATAAAAAAGAAAAAAAAAGAAAGAAACAGTTGGAAGTCACTCACACAGAGAGACACACATTCTCACATACTCACTCAAATACACACACACACACACACACACACACACACACACACACACACAGTGCCTTGTCTTAGAACCATTTGGGGGTTTTACGGTGGGAGGTGCTTGTGTTGTATTGTAACTGTCATGCCAATAAAAGGCAGCAAGAGGAGGCCGTTGTTGGGGTCAGTCTACGGTAGGATTCAGAGAGCTTTCTGAGACACCGGCCGGGGCCTCCCTTGCTAGCAAGTAAAAGATGTTCGTCTTGTTTTTGTCGTTAACGAGAATACGTTTCTAAACTAGCGGGGCTTGTGGAAACACAGACCCAAGACCTGCAGCATCAGAATCTGTGAGTAGAACGGGGGGGCTCCACGCTCTGTGTTTACATTTTTGAAGGGAACTTGTTTACCTGCTCTCATTTACTGTTTTAGCTGTTTGGTGATTGTTGAAACAGTTTTGTGAGCTTTAACCTGAGATTCTGGCATTTCTGGTAAAATACATAAATATTTAAAAATCGATTCAGGATTTAATGAATGCATTATTCAAAATGAAATCAGGGAAATTGATTTTTTAAACCCACCCCTAGTGACACCCGGGGCGATCGTGGCTCAAGAGTTGGGAGTTCGCCTTGTAATCGGAAGGTTGCCGGTTCGAGCCCCGGCTCGGACAGTCTCTGTCGTTGTGTCCTTGGGCAAGACACTTCACCCGTTGCCTACTGGTGGTGGTCAGAGGGCCCGGTGGCGCCAGTGTCCGGCAGCCTCGCCTCTGTCAGTGCGCCCCAGGGTGTCTGTGGCTACAATGTAGCTGCCATCACCAGTGTGTGAATGTGTGTGTGAATGGGTGGATGACCGGATGTGTAAAGTGCTTTGGGGTCCTTAGGGACTAGTAAAGCGCTATATAAATACAGGCCATTTTACCATTTACCACCCCTGTCCACAAAGTGGATTTTTTGTTTGTTGACAGTATAAAAAAGGGATTCTTGATGGACCAGATACATCGGCCTGTGGCTGCATCACTAATCCAGCCACAAACCACAGGCACTTGCTCTGCATTGCCAGCACTACAGAAACGAAACTTTGTGGCTTAAGGAAGGATTTAATAATCAACTCTCAAACCTGCTGGGAGTTTGATTCCCTTTAAACAGTTGTACAGGTGCAAGTTCATGGTCTTTCTGTAGGCATCATGAAATGCATCCAAATACTCCACTGCTCGACTAGACAGCAAGGCCTGAGAACTGATCATTTAATAGCCTGGCTCCCTCACATCACTCACAGAACCTTTGGGCCCTCTACAAAAGCAGGACCTACAGTAAACCAAGACAGTACTCCTTTTTGAACAGCATTTAGGGGGCATTACTGCTGTTTAGGGCAAAAAAAATGATTTTGACTACCACACACAAGCTCATTTTTATAGTCTGCAGAGAAACAGTGGCATTAACACACAGGACTGTAGACAGACTTCTGCTTACTTTGCTTCCTCATCTCTGGCTACAAGAAGTCGCATGTGATTGGTTGCAGAGGCTGCTCTCAAGATATCCACAGCTCTGTGAAACACATGCAAACACATTTACACAGATTGTCTTCCAGCATCACTACTGTTAACATGAGAGCAGTGACTTTAGCAGATTACCTTTCACTTGTGACACCTACTAGGCTGTCCCCATTCACTTCCAAGATCTGGTCCCCTGGCATCAGGTTTCCTGTGAAAGGTTAAACACAGATTACATGCAAGTGCAGAGGGGAGCTGTCAGCTGGACAGCAGTGGTTCATTTTGGATGTTTCTTTCTTTCGGGTTGACCCCAAAACGTGTTATATCTTTAAAGAAAGTGTTGTCAAGAGAATGAGCTTCCAGGTTAGTTATATATAATGCAATATAATATTATATAATAAGCTCAAGTTATTCATGCTCAGTTATTTCTAAATCAATAACAATTATCCATTACTGTATCACGTTTGTGTAATCGAAGAAAACCTCAGTTTTGCTAGAGTTATCTGATTTTTACTCTTCTGCAAACGTCTTAGAGTAAGTTTAAAAAGAACATAGAAAACAAAATACAACATTGTTCACTTCAAATGAAATATTACCCAGAAAGTGAGCTGCTTGGCTGAGGTTTTCACTCTCAGAGTGAGTCCTTGTTCCATTATACGAGCTTCTTTCAAAGTTTTGTTTCGGTCATGGATTGGCCTCCCCAAAGCCCACACATTACTGAAGCAGTGTGAGATTATCTTGACAGAGAACAGACCAAAAGGCAAAAACATCCAAAGAAGAGCTTTGAATGTCCTTCAAGAAGCCTGGGGAACGATTCTTGAAGACTACTGAAAGAAATGACAGAAAGCTGCCTCAGAGAGTTTAGGCTGGGCTGAAGAAGAAATATTCCCAAATAGTCCCTTTCAAATTCGCTGGAACTAAATGAACTCTCTTTTTGCCTTATATCCTATAGGACCCATGAATGTGTCTTACAGAAAAAGGGATTTATGATATGAAGTCCATCCAGCCATGGGGGGTGGCTGTAGCTCAGGAGGTAGAGCAAGTCATCTACATCTACTTAGTGGTTTGATCCGTGGCTCCACCCTAGTCTGCAGGCCAAATATCCTTGTACAGTAAATGAGAACAAGAAGACTGTAGAGAGTTCCACTGGGATTAAAGACCATCCGTTTGATGCTGAGGACTTTGATTCTGCACATTGTGTGCCGTAGTCTGAACCTGCTCATGGTAACATTTATCTGGCCACTTCAAAGACTGTGTTCACTGAGTTAGATGTCTGACAGACATGCTGAATGGTTATGATGGATTTTTTTCCCTCTAGTGACACCAAACATGCTGCGTACCTCAGCTTTAAACCAACATGAGACTCAGTTATGAGTTAAACAGCAACATCTTGCACATTTTAGTGTGAACTCACTTGGAATTGACATGAAAATCTTAGTGAGGAGTCGGGGATGTGAACTGTGAGCTCAGCTCTTCTGACTGCAGTTTAAATGTCAGACTGGTGGGTCAGGAAGAGACCAGCACTGCGACAATACAGCAAAACCCTTTGATCTGTATACCAGCAACTGAAGAAGAATGTGGCCTAACTAAAGTCAAGCATATGTGGTGTTCTGGACAAGCTGTAAGAAACAAACAACAATTTTTACAGACACTTCTCTCTTTGCCCTATATCCATCATTCATGGTGCGATACACAAAAAGTAGGCCAAGACAATCTTGTGGTGTATATTATTCATGTTTTAATACTCACAGGAGATATGCTCCAAAAATACTTGTTCTCACTGCAAAGGTCTTCAGTCAGGCCACTGTCAACGTTCATTTCTATTCTTTGGCTTTTGGAGTCATTCACATGATCTTCATGAATGGGAAAATTTAGCACAAGGGCTCGCTAAATTTCTACATTATGTAGTAAAGGCACAAACAAAGGATTTGTGCATTTAAAATAACACCAGCACTGCTGCAGACTGCATGCTTGGTCTCAACAGACATGTTCAAGGTGTTGCTGTGAAATATCGGAGGAGACAATGGAAATGTCCACAAATAACTGCTGTACTGTTATGTGGCTTTTCTATAGGCCAAGCCAACTTGGTCCTCTTCACCTCTTTTGAACTTTCTGGGAAATATTCAGGAATTACCCATTCAGTAATACTGCTTCACATAGAGCCTATAAATGTTCAGTCATTCTCCAACAGAGATGTTGGAGAATGACTGAACATTTATAGTCCCACAAGTATTTTCTCTTTTTCTTATCGCCCCAATTCAGAGGCGGAAGTCGAAACTTTTACTGCCTTTGTTCTAGAAATATTATCTTCTGTGTTGGGGGTCAAAGTAACTAGTCTAAATTCAGACTGTGCTGTTCTAGCACAGTCTGACCAAAGGTTTCTGGATTTCAAGTCTTACCATCAGTTGAAGCAAGGCCACCTGGTAAAATCCGTTTGACGTAGACTCCAAACTCCTCTCCTGTTAGCTCCTTCACTCCACCTATCACTTTAATTCCTGTAGAGAGAGAGATAGAAAAAGAGTACTTTAATGGGTTTTCCAGTGTTTCTTTAATGATTTTTTGCCCTCCAGCCACTTTGTGCCTTGTAAAAAATGATGACAGTGGAGTCACTGCCTGGAAACAATGCATCATAGGGAACACTCTGATTTCCAGGTTAATGACAGTCCTGCAAAAACCTGCTCAAGCACAACAGACAGAGGTTCATGTCTCCTGGCACACTGTTGTCAGATTTCTTCCATCTATGACCTGGTTACATTTCTTATAGCTCAAAGGGGTTCATTTGACTGACGGGCTTCCCTCTGCATTATTGTCTTTACCCTTGAGGTGACTGCTCTTATGATTTGGCATTATATAAATAAAACTTAATTGAATTTCTGAAACAAAACGAGCTGGTTGGACTGTGTGCATTTAGACTGTGTTTTCCTGTCTCTGAAACCTGTGCCACTGCAACCACTAAGCATAGAAGAAAGTCTTTATGACCAGATCAAGCTTTATGTAAAGCACTCTTACTTTAATGCACTTTCCCCCGTACACTAAATCACCACTCCACCACTATGTCACTGTTCCACACCATTTCCACAGTAAGAAGCAATTCAATTCCAAACAGAAGAAATGCCCCTGTGGGCCTGTGAGCTTGAGGGTCCTGCTCAGTATTTTACTGTTCCTAGGACAGCATCCTTCTGGACAGAGATCTCCAATGTTGTTCCTGGGATCTGCTGGAGCCACTTGCCTCGCTTGGGAGTCACTGCTCCAGTTACCACTGGAACCACTGTTAGCTTCACCTTCCACATTTTTCGAGTTCTTCTCTCAGCCGGTGGTACTTCTCCAGCTTCTTGTGTTCCTTCTTCCTGACATTGCTGGTATAGCTACTAGAGATGGACTGATCCGATATTACGTATCGGTATCAGTCCATCTCTAATAGCTACATCTATTACTGCGGCCATCTCTGGTTGTCCACCACTACTATGTCTGGTTCGTTTGCCATCACCAGTTTGTCCATGTGTATCTAGAAGTCCCACAGGATCTTAGCTCAGTCATTCTTGACCGCCCTAGGGTGCGTCTCCCATTTTGACCTTAGGACTTCCAGGCTATACTCGGCACTGAGGTATTCACTAAGCACGCGGTCAGTTATAGTCATCTTCCTGATGTACTCGTGGATGTTCGTTGTCTCATCCTGGACTGTGGTTCTGACATTCAGTAGTCCCGGGCCTCCTTCCTTCCACTTAGCGTCTCAGGATGCTGGACTTGGGGTGAAGCCCTCCATGCCCGGTAAGGAGCTTCCCTGTCTTATTGTCAGTGGCTTCTATCTCCTCGTTTGGTCACCTTATTATCCCAGCAGGGTACCTGATCGCCAACAGGTTGTAGGTGTTGACAGCCTAGATCTTGTTCTGACCATTCAGCTGACTCCTCAGGACTTGCCTGACCCTCTGCAGGTACTTGGTGGTTGCAGCTTTCCTAGTCTTTCCCATTTGCCTGTGGGATCCCCAGGTACTTGTAGCTGTCCTCAGTGTCTACATGTTGCCTTCTGGTAGCATGGTCCCCTCTGACTACCTTCCTTCTCTTGTTACCATCAGACTACACTTCTCCAGTCTAAATGATGGATGGTGACTTGTGCTATTGGGTTGAAGTTGGCCTCTAGTGTTGTACACCACATCCCCATTGAGTTTCTGATGAAGGCTTTTAGGGTCCCGTTGATCTTATATAGTTCTAGGATCCATGTGTAGAGCATCGAGTCATAGGCCTTCTGGTAATCAGTCTCAGGTGACTGCTATGTCTACCAGAAGCCAGTGTTTCTCCTCTGGTATTCTTGCTCATGTGTCAAGCCATGTGCCTGTTTATCTTAGCTGCTATGATGCCTGACAGGAGCTTCTATGTGGTACCGAGGCAGGTTATTGGCTGGTATTTGGATAGGACCAGTCCCTTCTGGGGATCCTTGGGGATCAGGACCTTCCGGCCTTCTGTTAGCCATTCTGGGTGCGTTTCATCCTTTAGCAGCCTCATTGAATTCAGTCAGCTTCTTCAGCCAGTAGGCGTGAATCATACTGATCAGATCAGCTGATTAGTCTCAGTGATGGTTGCAGTAGGGATTGTCTATAGTGCTGCATTCAAGTGCTGCTTCTAGTAGACCTTCAGAGGGTAACTTGTGTAATCTTTCTAACTGGCTACAGAGGACCCAGGTTTCCAGCTTCGGCATGATGCAAAGGAGCAAAACTCCAATGTGGATAGAAAACGAATAATAATAATTGTAATAATCTTATCACTACCAATTAAATGTAAATAATTTAAGCAACAGTAACTATAACTGAATCAGTGGACAAAATGATTCCACGTTCATGTGTTTTATGCACACTTTACACACACAGCTTCTACAGCTCCAACAGACCATCTGATTCCTGCACGTGGATCTTTCATCACTGCACTCCACAGAGAATATAGTAGAGTTAACGCTGAAATCAGGCCTTCTTTAGCTTAAGGCTTCCACTGGCCTGCTGGAGCCAACACAGAGTGTTACAACTAATTGGGTCTGGAGTGAAGGGCTCAAGTTAATTATCGCCTGGTGGAACAGTGGGGTTTTAAAGTTCCTTGTCTCAGTCCTCCCATCCTTTTATACTCTTCTCTGAGGAAAACAGTTTCTTGTTCTTTTAAGCCTCAAAGCAGTCTCCTCCCCTCATCTATCATCAGATAAGAAAAACATGCAGCTGGAGCAAATATGAAAGACTTGCATCCCTTGTTCTTATTCAGCTTTGCATTTACTTTCCGAATCATTACTTCCCATTCACAATGAGTCAAGGGCATATTTCTTACACAAGAACTGAATGTTCCAGATCTAAATAAAATGTGGGGTTATTCAGTGTGATTACAAGAGGTTCTTAAAATGGTTTCTTATTCCCCAGATAACACAAGAACATGAAATATAAAATGTCTGTTGAGTAGGGAGAGTGAGTTTTGAAAACCGTCTTCTTTAAAGCACAAGCTGCAGATACTGCCAACATGTCAACAAAATGAACTGTGACGGACACGATTTTCACTGCAAACACCGTCCCCTGCCCACAGGCTGATGCTGTGCTGCTTTCAGCTGCACTAACAGAGAGATTCAAAAGTGCTGTCCTCCATATGCGATTGTATGCTACAGTGTGTACAGCAGCCCTTCTCCCTGCTGAAAGCTACATGTGTGCACTAAGGAAGCCTTAAGACTTTAATATATGTATCAGAACACTGTATTCACCTGCATGTGCTCAGGTTGGATGGGAATTAGTTGCTTTGCTTCTCACCTGCGTGCACATATTGATACACAGGTTGGCTTTTACGCATCTTCATTCTTCAGACTTTTTGGCTTTCCAGTAAGTCAAAAAACCTTTGACACTGACACATATGTATAAATACAGCACAACCAATTACTTAAAATCACTGTTATGCCAAAAGCATAACTGGATAGAAAATAAAACCCTCACAGTGGCCAGTTCATGACCGATGGTTATGGACTGGACTCCTCAAAGCCCGGACCTCAACATTATTGAAGCAGTGAGGGTCATCTTAAGAGAACATCCAAAGAAGAGCTTTGACTATCCATCAAGAAGCCTGGAGAACCATTCCTGAGGAACACTTAAAGAAATGACAGAGTCAGAGTCATGCTCAGTCTGTCAGCTGCCTGAGAGAGTTCAGGCAGTGAAGAACAATAAAGGTGTTCACACCAAATATTCACTTTCAAATTCTCAGTAAATCACTGGACCCATTTCTCATTTTCCTAGCCAAATATATATTGCATAACATACATGTACGCACTTTACAAAAGCATATAAAATGCACACAAATTGTGTGCATTTCTTTTATTTGTCAAAATAAATGAGAAAACAGAGCTGCCTTATGTACTCTGACTCTCTGAATTCTGTTATTTAATATTTATTACTGCTTTAAATGTTACATTTCAAGAATAATTACAAACTGTATGTTCAGAACTTAAACATATTCAGTTTTATTTATATACTGCCAAATCACAAGTTGCCTCAGCAGTGCACACGTTCTTTATGCCATCAGCTTCTGCAAACGTTACTAAACATCAAATCATGTAAGACATCATCTTGGACATGTCAGCAATAATAGAGTAATACAGTTCTGTTCTGAGGAGATTTACACAACCTCATGAATATATATGTGTGGACGTATAAATATGGACATAAATATATCTATATAAAGCAGTTTTGCTTCACTGTGATGTTTGGCAGCTTGACAGTAGTTGCATTCATGGACATGAGTTGTTTTTTCTTGCTTAGGCACAAGTTGCAGCAGCACAGTGATAGTGCATAGTAGACAGTGGAAGTGGAGGATAAAAACAACAGCAGCTCCTGTATTCTTAACCCCACTCAGTTAAGTAGGTTATGGCTTTGACCTACTTCCCCTGCTTGGCAAACACAGTGATCTGTAGCATGATACCTACTCTGCAAATCCCTTTAAAACGCAGACTAATATTATTTAATCTACTCATTATCATGCTCCATCGCCAGTGGTTAGTGGAGGATGGTTGAATAAGGCTATGTAGATGATTCAGACTTGGTGTAAAGAACTGAATTCTGTTGGGTCCAAAATGTTGTTTTTTTATTAAATCCATGGCTTCATCTCAGCTTGTATGTGTTTGGTCAACTATTGGGTATAAAGTGTCAGACCACTACGTCCTGTGAGGGGAACAGTTTCTCTCAGAACTCAGGTTATGTTGACACACCTGCAGAAAGCACGAGCTTTATTCACGAGGACAAGTTTTTGTCCGAGTGTGTGGCCGAGCCTGAAGTGGATGTCGTGCTTGGAGAAGCTTCTCCTCTGATAAACCTGCTACACAAGGGATGACAATGTTTTTCCGTTTGTCGTTCAGTTTCTACGCAGCTGACCTTCTTTCCTATGCATCTTTGCTGATTTGACGAAGGTCCTGTTGGGATAACCACATGTTTTAAGAACTTTCTATCCATGCGTGTTCCTTTTCTTTCTCTTCTCTCTGGTGTTGCAGGGTCCTGATTACTCCAAATTTGTGTTCCACAGGATGTTTGGAGTCAAAGAGTAGGTACTAGTCTGTGTGTGTGGGCTTCAGTGTTGAGGTTTCCATCTTCCTCAATGCATACAGCACAGTCCAGAAATGGCAAACTATTATTCTTCTACTTCTTGGGTTTTGATTTTGACCCAGATGTCATCCACATATCTGTGCCGGTCTTTAGGGGCTGTTCCTTTGAAAGAACCAAAAGCTTTACTTTCCACTTCCTCCTTATAAAGGCTGGCTGCAATGGCTGACACTGGGGAGCCCATGGCACATCCATATTTTGATGTACAAACCCTGGTTGTATGTGGTGGTGAGGCGGGGTGAAGCTGATTCTGTTTTCTATGGCGCGGTCTTACTGTAGGTGTTGGTAAGTTTTTGTTTGCCATATGTGGAACTTCCAAAATCGTTCTTCTCCTTTAATGTCTTATGGAAACTGTGCTTTGTCCACAAACTAATGGATCACTAAAGTCAACGTCATTTCATGGACATTTTTTTACTAAATATGTTACAGTACAGTACTGGCTACTTTTTAAGTAATCACTATTTGAATGCGGATCCTAAGTCAGACGTGAGCTGTGTAAGCAGTCAGACAAGTGCGAGTGAAAAAAATGAAAGAACTTAAGTTGAGCATCTTATTGAAGTTAAAGAGCCAGAGCAACATCTACAAGCAGCAACACATGTGACCTCTGCAAACACAAAGGAGAGTAGTCGAGTGTTGAGGTGTGTGGGGACAGAAGTATGAAAAGACTTACCTAGGCCATTCTCACAGTCTGTAAACTCCATGGAATGAACAGCCCGGTCAACTCCGTATGGACCCATTAGTGTCCTGTTAGAGGTCAGTGGATAAAAAGGAAGCAGGAAGCAGGGAAAGGAAAGAGAGTGAGGGAGAAAAAGATGACGAAATAGGAAAAAAAACCCAAATCTAACTATTTTTTTCACAGGCTGCACTGCTACACAGTCAGAATCCATCCATCACATAGGAGAACTATAGTATTGGGAACTTAACCTCAGATAGCTTCTCCTGTCTAGGCCTGAGACTTTGTCACCACACACAAGGCAAGGAGTGTGTCTTCAGTGTGTGCTGCAGATACTTCATTGTGAAAATTAGTCTTCTATTCATGGTACTGTCAAAAATCTTTCTCAAATTATGAACACAAAAGAATTCTTTCCTCACACTGCTGTTTGAAGACAAGACCAAATACAGCTGTGACAGTAGCAGAGGAAGCAGAAATGAGACGGCAGCATTGGGTAACTCCAAAGCATCTTGGTAAGATCTCACACAGTGAGCAATTCTCTGAGAGATAGGGCTGGCACACATGTTGTTCGTCTTATGCAATAATGCTGCACAAGAGGACTGCACACTGCAGCTTTCCCCTTTTCCCTCTTTACTAATCCTCATCTAACACTTGCAAAGCATCCCTTTGCTTCCCTCATTAGACACTACTAAAGACAATGCAGAATACTGCAAATGAACAAACCATAAATGTCACTTTTTTGGTATCTGGAATGATGTCTTTTTAGCACTTTATTTTAGTTTGCAGTTCCCTTCCTGTCTACACCCAAATGACAAAAAGGACTATCAATATTTTAGCTGCAGAGGGTTCGCCACTGCTGTCAGTAACAACAATGAGGCTGAACTTCGAAAGAAACACTGGCTGATAACACAAAGATGCAACGTTCAGGATGGAGCTGGACCTTTCAAAATCATCTGTTAAGGATGGATATACAGTCTCACACTAGAACAGCGGGATTCACTGTTGATTTTTGTATTTTGTGGTTTGGATTCATTTTACTGCTTTGGGCTGTCTTTGATTAATGGTCATGACAATTTGCATATTAATGATGAAGAAACTGAGCTCACAGCCCGTTGTTCAGTGGTGCTAGTTTCAGTTTTTAGGCAAATGTACTGTTTATAAGGTTGGGGAAACCTGCACTTGGATGAGTGACGAAACGTTTCTCCCACTGGAAATGCTAATTTGTATTTGTATTCCTTGGACCAGAGAGCGGGTTTCCACTTTGCTACAGTCCATTTTAAATGAGCTTTGGTCCAGATAATCACTGATCATGTTCACATATGGCTTCTTCTTTGCAGGGTGGAGCTTTAACCTGCATGTGTGGACAGCACAGGAAGTGTTCCTGAGCCCATGCATCGATTTCCACCACACAATCGTGTCTGTTGTTAATGCAGTGCTGCTTGAAGGACCAAAGATCACACAAACAAATGAAAAAAAGAAAATGAAAAAAATTGTGAAACTGCACCACAGTTTGTTGGCAGTTTTTTCATCAGCCTCTCCACGACACTCTTTTCATACCCAGTTGTGTTACTTACTAGTTAACCTGATTAGCTGCTAAATGTTACTCCAGCTGTTTCTTTTGAGCACCACTTACTTTTCCAGGTTTTTGTTGCCCTGACCCAATTGTTTTGAAAGATGTTGATGCCATTTTCATGAAATACAGTCCTGAACAAAACTGTAAGACCACTTGAAAAATGGCAAAAAATCCTATTTTGCATGTTTGGATCTTAACGAGGTACCAAGTCGAGCTTCAACATGCAACAAGAAGGAATGGGAGTGACACAAAACATTTTTTTGAGCATGCAAACAATGCTTAAACTGAAACAGGCTGTTTTACAGCTGATCAAAGTTTAGGACCACACCTCCAAAAAACCTGTAAACCCACCAAAACAGAAATTAATGTTGCAAACATGAACTCAGTAATGAGTCGCTCCACAGTGATTGTTGATCACTTCAAAAATTCGTTGTGGCATGCTTGATGCAAGTGTTTCCATGAGGTGAGAGGGAACATTTCTCCAAGTGGTGAAGACGGCCGCATGAAGGCATCTACTGCCTGGATCTGTTGTCCGTTTTTGTAAACTTCCCATCCCCAAAGGTTCTCAGTTGGATTTGGATCAGGGGAACACACAGGATGGTCCAACAGGGTGATGTTATTGTCCTAGAAGAAGTCTTTTGTCCTGCAGCATTGTGTACTGTAGCATTGTCCGGTTGATAAACCCAGTGGTTACCACACAGACGAGGGCCCTCAGTCATGAGGGACACTCTCTGCAACATCTGGACACAGCCAGCAGCTGTTTGACGCCCCTGCACCTCCTGAAGCTCCACTGAAGGAAAAAGCACCCCAGGCCATTATGGTCCCCCCTCCACTGTGGAACGTAGAGAACACCTCGGGTGGGATCTGCTTGTCATGCCGGTAACGTTGGAAACCAACAGGACCATCAAGGTTAAATGTGTTCTCATCAGCGAATAAAACTTTCTTCCACCTTTCAATGTCCCATGTTTGGCGCTCAAAGTCCAAACAGTCAGTTCTGTGGCGTCCAAGGACACGAGGCCTTTGAAGACCTTTCTTGTTTTGGAAGCCCTTCAGTCTGAGATGCCGTCTGATGGTTATGGGGCTGCAGTCGGCACCAGTAATGGCCTTAAATTGGGTCGAGGATCTTCCAGTGTCTTGACAGCCAGTTGGATCCTTCGGCTCTGTGCTGGTGAAGTTGTTTTGGGTCTTCCACTTGACTATTTTGTTCCATAACCCTCAGGATCATTTAAGAAATTCCAAATGACTGTCTTACTGCGTCCCCACCTCAGCAGCGATGGCGCGCTGTCAGAGACCCTGCTCATGCAGTTCAACAACCCGACCACGTTCAAAAGGGAACGTTTTTTGCCTTTGCCATCAGAACGTCATGACAGTGAGACTACCTGACAGAAAATGATGAATCCACATTTTAACACAGATTTGGCCTTAAGGCATGTGGACCTAAACTTTTGATCAGCTGTGAAACAGCCTGTTTCAGTTTAAGTGTTGTTTTCAATAAATTGCATGATCCAAAAATGTTTTGTGTCACTCCCATTCCTCCTTGTTGCACGTTGAAGCTCTACTTGGAACCTTGTTAAGATCCAAACATGCAAAATAGGATTTTTTGCCGTTTTTCAAGTGGTCTTAAAGTTTTGCTCAGGACTGCAGTAAAATGTTTCAGCTGAAACATTTGATGCTTTCTCTATGTTCTATTCTGAATAAAATGTTTTTACACCACATCCCAACTTTTTTGGAATTGTAGTTGTACAAAGGTCACATTGGCCAGGAGTTGGAAAGCAGCCATGATGGTTCACGTAACATCTCCACATATATTTTAGAATGCAGCTGGTAAAATCCACAAAGAGCATTAAACCTCAGAACCAGCACGGGTCAGCTGATTAGTCATTTCCTGCCACTGAACAGCTACAAAGGTTCCCCCCTTTCCCCAGTCCCAGTTTAACCCTCAGGTCTACAGGTGTACGGCAAGCTGAGTAATTGTCCTAAAAAAATTGAGTGCACTGAGTTATATCACATTCAGACCAATACAGTGGCAAAAGCTAAACCCATAGGCATAACCACAGACAACATAAAAGATGGATGAGGCCAATGTGAAATCACCGACTGCTTGTTTCCAACCTGGATATGGCAGTGAGGGGTGGATCCAGCCATGAAACCACCCGCTCATTGGTTAATGCCTTGTGTGTTTCCAGAGGTGACAGCAGATTACCCATGTAACACTACAGGACATACAGTTTTTATGCAACTATAGCCGTTAACCCTTGCTGGCCTTTTGAAAAGAAAGGTATGATGGCGCCTGTGTTTGGCTCTGCCGCTGCCGGGTGCAGTTTGTCGCGCTCTGCTACTTTTGTGTTATTTTTTTCTGCTCTGCTGTTCTCACTTAGTTTTAACGATGTATTGGCTGCCTTGGTGTATGATCGTCTGGCTTTGCTATCCATCCAATCCTCTATGGTGCCTCACAATGTCTCTTCGTCCTCCGCCGGTATTTTCCACCCGCCTCCATCAGCTGGAGCCTCGCTAGGCACTTTCGGCGGTTCCTCTAGACCACGGAGAAGGAGAGGGAGAAGAGGAGGTATTTGGGTAAAGCTCAGGCTTTACTGGCGGCGGGGTTTGGCTGGTAAGAAACGCCGAGCAGACCTTGTCTCCTGTGCTCGGAAAAGCTCCATGGAGGGGGACTTGTCTTCCACTTCCCTGTCTGAGGAGGGTTTATCCAGACTCTTCTGCCGTCTGGCCCTTTATTCCCTCGGTGAGTGGATTCTACGAGCGTGATGGCTCAAACGTAGATACTCAAAAGTAGTGATGGGATTTCCGGCTCTTTTTAGAGATCCGGCTCTTTCGGTTCGGCTCACTAAAAAGAGCCGGCTCTTCAGGTTGTTTTGTTGCTTTAATTAATTTATTATTAACAATAATATAAAATTATGCACAAAAGGAATTACTAACGTAAAAACAAGTGGTTTTATTTATATATGTTTATATATAAATATATGCGGTGGCCCCTAGAGACAAAACACGTACAAACTCCAAAACACATTTCTAGCATGAACTGAACTTTCAAAGCAGAGCTACTAGATCACTTAAATTACACAATTGAAAGCATGTGTGTATTGTTTGTGTATTTATACACAGGCACTCATATATATTCAAATAATTTAAAAAAAGTTAATTTACCTGTTACTACCACACACCAAATCCGGTCGTTGGTACTTGCTGGCTTGTGTAGCCACAAGATAACAAAGGCTCAACACTGCCCCCTAGCATCCTGGAGCACTTCTGTTGTCTTTTGTACGTGTTTTGAGTTTTTATATGCTTCTGAGTTTTTACGTGCTTCGGAGTTTGTACGTGTTTTTGGAGTTTTTACGTGTTTTGGAGTTTGTACGTGTTTTTACGTGTTTTGGAGTTTGTACATGCTTCAGAGTTCGTACGTGATTTGAAGTTTGTATGTGCTTTGTCTGTAGGGGCCACCGTAAATATACTTTTATTTATTCACTCCACATAAAATGTAATAAATAAATCATATAATACAAAAATCAACTATTCACATTTCAAGTTTTAACTATTTAAATTTTCAGCTTTTTCCTTTCACAAATTTAAAGTGAAAAGAACACAAAACACTGCAAACCACAACACAATTAAATATAAATTATAATATGAAAACTAAAAGAACATGCATATTCTCTGTCATATGGACCTGCATGAATAAACTTTCTCAATCCTTTATCATCTGCAACCGAAAATAGTTGTGGATGATTACTATACCTTTCTAATGTTGTTGTCCCTGCCTCTCTTTCTCTCTCTCTCGCTCTGTTCCTGTGCTACTGAGTGTAACTACCGCCCCTCCCCCCTCTGCCCAGCGTAAAGCACAAGGCTCGCGTGCAGAGTGAAGCGGAAAAAAGTGCGAGAGAGAGGCTGAGAGAAAGAAAAAAAAAAAAAACCCCACGTGACGGCTCGCGATAAGGAGACGGCTCGCGTCGTTCACGTCAAAGAGCCGGCTCTAAGAGCCATTTCGTTCGCGAACGACCCATCACTACTCAAAAGTATCTATGTCCTGTAACTCGAGCCCCTGCAAATACTGAGGCTTCTACCTCGCTGAATATGGCGCTTTTTAATGCTCAATCTCTGTCTAATAAATGCCAAAAATGAGCTCACTCCACAGAAACAGCCCTTCTTAGGGTCTCAAATGACATTTTGATGAGTAATGATGCAGGAAAATACTCTGTCCTACTTATGTTGGACCTCACATCGGCTTTTGACAGTGTTGACTACCACATCCTCCTTGAAAGGCTTCAACACTGGGTTGGTGTATCTGGAACTGCCTTAGAGTGGTTCTCCTCATATCTACATCACCGATCCTTTTCTGTGATGGTCTCTGGTTTTAGGTCATCCTAAATTCACATGTGACACCATTGCTATCTCAGCTTCACTGGCTTCCTGTGGAATTTAGAGTCCATTTTAAGTTCCTGGTCTTGACATTCGGAGCCTTGCATGGACTGGCACCAGTCTACATCTCTGATCTGCTACAGCCATATGTCCCTAGCAGGTCCCTGAGGTAATCAGATCAGGGCTTACTTGCTATAAAAAAGACTAAGATGAGAACTAAGGGTGACAGAGCTTTTGCCACTGTGGCCCCGAGACTGTGGAACTCTCTCCCCCAAACATTAAGAACTGTGGACTCAGTCGTTGTTTTTAAAAAACAACTCAAAACTCACCTTTTTAACTGTTTTTGATTAATTTTTGCCTGTTTTATATTGTTTTTTTCCTTTTATTATTTGTTATCTTATGTGCAGCACTTTGTGACACTGTCTAGAAAGGTGCTGTATAAATAACATTTTATTTATTTGTTTGTAAGGTTCATACAGTCTATGGGCATGACCGGAGTCACGAATACACTCGCTGAAGCTTGGTGCCATTCAAAAAACTCAGTGGTTGTGTTGTTAGACACACATGGATGAAGTATAACTTGTGGCATGAGAAACATATTGTAAACATAACTGAAGCAGCTCCACACTGCCGACTGCATCATTCACCCTAACGGATAAAATGTCGATGAGACAAGCTTCCAAACGTCTGTCAGTAAATGTTCCAACTTTGGTAAAACATGGATCATCAAATCAGCAACATTTACAAAATCAATGAGCCACACAGTAAAAGCACAGACTGAACATTAAATGTCCACAATGGAACCCGCTACTGAGAGCCGATAAAGTGCCTCATAGAGGCTCTTTTCAAAGGAAACTTGGGACGCACTTGGTCTCTGATGTGGAGCTCATCCGTTTGTAGCGCATGCAAGAAAGATCACTGCATCATTTCACGCGGAAAACTAGAACATATCGATAAGCCTGAGAGAAGAGCACGAAGCACAGCTCCGTGTGAGACACGAAGCAGATCCACGCGCCTGTGTTACAGACGGACAGTCAGCGTCACGGTTACCAGAAAAAGACCGAGAAGACACGCGGTGTGTTTGGTTTCCACGGGACAGAGTTATGGTTAGTAAACGCATCTCCGTGTTTCCAGAGTTCAGCTGTCAGCATCGTGTCACCGCTGCTGTCACACAGACTAACCTCTACCTGCACACGCAGCCGCTCGCCTTTACCTGCTGATGATCACCGCTCCTTTGTACATGACTGAAAACGTTGGCATGTTGACATGGAGCCCGGTTCTCCGGTGAGACAGGCGGAGGCTCGGTCGCAGCGTTCAGCCTTCAGCCAGCAGCCACATGATGGTGCACAGGCACTAATTCCAGCGAAGCAGCCTGTGCGCTCCAAACATCTCCACCTTCAGCCACACGGTTAATCTCTTACATAACTAAAGTCGGCGGAAAATGAAAAAAAAAAACCCTCTGGGGCTGGAAATGATTCGGTGGTTTGTTTCGCACACATTTCTCACCCTACCTGTCATTTTCTCTTGCTGTGGCTGTGCAGCGGCTTTATTTGTTGCTGGGAACAGCTCCATTCAACGGAATCTGCCTTTCCCCCTCTCTCTGGATGTTTGTGCTACTTTGATGGTAACGTGTTTAATTGTGTTTGGCCTCGTTACGCGTGAACATGAGTCTTTCCATAGATTCTACCCACACTTCCATTTGTATCAACCACAGCTTCTTTTAAGACGATATTGGCCACTGCGCTAACAAGTTCTTGTTGAGCCAGAGAGGAGGGGCTTACGAGCCTTTAAACACATTAATGCACAAGTGCCCTGCTCTCCATTTAGGAACTGCAATTTAATCCCCAGATGACATCCATTACTCTGCCTTCATCTTTAGCATTCAGACCGTCTATGCTGTCATCTTCACTACTCAAACAACGATTCTTCATTTTGGCTTTATTTTGATCAGCTAATGTTACAAAAATGCGAGAAAGAAAAAGAAAAGTTACCACAGTGCTGTCTCAGCTCAGTGCTGCTAGGAAGCTTTTTTGTTAGAGACAGCCTCATCCATGATCCCTAAAATGAATTTAATGCAAAGACAAAATCAATCAATCAAATGGAGGCAACAGCGCTTAAAGATACAACACTGGTGACTGTAACTGAGCTGTTTCTTGTGTGTTTCCACCCAGCAACATGACTGTGCCCCTCCCACCGGACACAGGTAAAACCTGCTGAACCTGCCTGTGTTTGAATTCACTGTTACACTACATTCATAAATGGGGGAGCGCTCCAGTGTACACTCTGTAGCTTCTTTTTGATTCAGTTTGGTGTGTAACTTTTCTAGATTTGAGGTGTAATTTTCTATCAGTAAAATATCCTCACTGGCAGGTACAGCACAAGTGGAGGTTTGAATAGAAAGAATACACTAAGTATATTTTTTAAGGTTCTTGCTTCTAGAATTTCCTGACATTGTTATTACATGTAGATCCTTACAGTGTCATTTGCAAATTGCCCAAAGGCACGTAATAATTAGAAAATACATAAACATTTTTCTCATATGGTAATTCTAGTTGCTGAAAGTTACCCCCCTACACGAATAAAGAAATGCATGGTGACTGGTCAGTAATTACACCATTATTTGTGTGCTGTATTAAAAAGTGCTGCCCCCAAATAAACTTTCTGAGTGACACGGGCGTGAGGCTGCAGGAGGTCTTTGACACAAACAATAAATAACAGGAAAATTCATAGGAACGTTTCCTGGAGCACCGGGTGCTGAGATATTCAGCTTCAGCCTGAGACACTGAAACAGCTGAAAACCTGAAAACCTACCTGGCAAATCCTAGAGGCACTTTGAGTCTTTGAAGCATGTCTGTGCTGTGGTGCAAAAGCCTGGACGTTAGCTTGTGGTTGTTAACATATGCTCTGCATATTTCCAATCACGATGCTCCGCAGCTGCCAGCAGATATGGAGAGTACCAATTGATGAAGTGATGATAAGCTTATGCACACAAATCCATACAGCACAAGCACGTGCTAAATATAGGCCTCTGTAAGAAGGCTGTTCAAATACTCCAGGCACAGATCAGACTGTATGACACACACGGAGTTGCTTACAGCTCAGTGGGGTTTTCTTGCTCTTGTCTGCTTTGCTTCAGTCTGTATGGCTATTACTTCACACTAAAGCTGCCCTAATTATCTTTACATATTTTCTCTTTCATTCCTGCTTCTTTACATTTTCTTCTTAACTCTTTGAGTTCTAGCTACTGTGCATACTAACGTTTATTAGTTCTTAACTTCACATCTGTCTCTGAGCTTCTTCCTTCTTCTGTTTTTGCATTTAGCTTTACTTCCTGCCTGTGACTGTGTTGATTGTGTCCACCTGTGTCTAACCACCATTAGCATTCACTTTATGTGTATAGTCCTGTATTTGCCTCAGTGTGTTTCATATACAACCTGCATGTCCCTGGAAAGTACATTTAAACTTTTAGTCTGTACAACATAGATTGTTTTGAGCGGAGTTTTGTCCATGTTAGTATCAACACAGCCCGGGTCCATGTTTATATCTGTAATTTTGATCAGAAATTGATTAAAACAAAACAAAAACAACAGATAAACTAAAGACACCCAGATTTGTTCAGCAAAAATAACACATTGATGATGTTTGAAGCATAAACCCTATCACTGATGTTACCATTACCAGCACTAAGCTGCTATGTTAGCTTAATGTCCCCATTGTGATTCAGATGTCACTGATGGGGTAAAAAGCCAAGCTATGAACTAGAGTTTCACATCCAGGTCCATGTTTGAGGCTTGGCTGTACGGAGATCCCACATCGCCTGCATGGGTTCATTAGACACAGTAAATAGCTGTGCTCAGTGGGGCAAGCAGGAGCCCAGAGAGAACCAGCATGGCAAGTTTGACAAATGAACCCAGGTCTGTAACTTAGAAACAGTTATCCTTATTACTGGTGCAGTATGGGGACTAGCCTTCTCTGTGCAGGCGACTAAGATTTAAACCAGTCAGCTGATATTAGGGTGTGTTATAGTACAAGGTTCTGTCTGTCCATGAACAAAATGCCATAAACAAGCTAAATTTAAAACCAGCTGTCGAGCAGATTAATCTGGCGTGGATCCACATCATATTTTTTAAAAGGACAGCAGTGTGGTTATCGACCCTGACGCTCTCTGAATCCTGTTCAGACTACACGCTGGATTCATGAATTCAGTCCGTGCCGGTAAATCCAACTTTTAAGCTTTTAAAAAACTGATCCGAGCCCAGTCTGACTATCACATGGACTCGTATGTGATTACACATTTAGGTTTACAAGACCTGGTTAAAGATATTGTTATTAAAACAAAAAGGAACATTTCTGTTCAATCTATCAGTTTTTCGGTTCAATAAAACAAACCATTATTACAGTGACAGCGGAGATACAGTAAAAACAGTTCAAAACTGTTAAAGCAGTGAGTTGTCTAAAGCCAGGACAAGGTTTGTGATGTTTTCCAGTTGTTGGGATTAAAGAAGCTGGAGTCTTTCCAGGCCCTTACCAAACCCTGAGGTCTTGTACTGACTCCAGAGGCAGGCTTTGGGAGCACAGATGTAAGCTTGGCTAATGCTTGACTGCAGTCGTAGCCAACCTGAGATTTGTCTCCAAATGTGAAGCATCTCATCCTTTAGAGCCTGCACCAGGCAAGGCTTCACAGTCCCAGACACTTTCCACAAAACACAAAGAGACACGGTCCTATCCCAGTGAGCAAAGTGGAAATTGATTTAAGCAGCTGATTAAAGTAACAGGCTCTCATCACTAACTCCCCTTTCCACGCTGCACACAGTGTAAACCAGCGTTTCCCAACCACTGTGAGAAATGATCAGGTGTGCCGTGGAACATTATTAGTACTGGCCAACCTGATTGGTGCTCTAAGCGACAGCGTGAGTAACGGGCAGAACAATGACGTTCTCTTCCACTAGAGGGCAGTACAACCACCTGCTCTAATAAATGTGTTGCCAACTGGCAGTAAAAACAGAAGAAGACGAAGAAGAACTTAAATAACAGTCATGCTGTGAGACGATGTTTAAAAAGGAAGTGTTCAGTCTGACCTGGTCCTGGAGAAAACTCGACCCAGATGAAGGCCCTAGCATGAGTAGTGGTCAGAAGGAAGCAACAAAGGTATACTGGGACAAACAGAGCCAGTTCTGCTATATTTGGTGGAAGAATGATCCGTATGCTTTGTGTGACATGTCTGTTTGGTGGTGTGCTGTGGGATTTTTCTAATGTGAAATATGGGCCGTGGCTCCAAAAGCCTGGGAAACACTGGTGTAAACACACTGCATGCTTCACTAAAACATCCCATTAGATGCAAAGTTGCACATCTGAGTCATAAAAGAGCTGGGACATCACTGCACTTCTTGTTGCTTCTCACAGTGTTTTATTGGTTTCTTTTTTGCCTGGGAGCATGAGCAGCTGAGCGAGTATGTCAGCGATGTGCGCTCTCCTTTGTTTATACATACGCACACACTGTTGTGTCTCTTTGTGTCGTCGTTTCCCAACAAATGAACACAATGTGAGTCTACAGAAAAGAAATGATTTTATTTTGTGTTAATTATCTAATGTCTTTGGTTCCATCGTGTTTGTGTTCTTCTGTAACACCAGAATTAAGCTTTTACTTTATTATGTATGTCTCTTTATAATGCTGTGTAATGTTGCAGCACACATAAAATAGTATGTAAAGCCCCCACATCTCTCCCAGGAGTAACAAGGAACCTTTAAGCTTGACAGAAGTAGTTATTTGAATTCTATTTTTCATTACATGTATCTGTTTAAAGTGAGATAAGATATCACATAGCCTGTTCACCTGTGTGCAGGTCAGCTTTGTCAGTCACTTCCTGTCTTACTTTATTGTCTGGTGTTTTATTTCCTGTCTGTCATCGTCCTGACTGACTTCAGCTCCGAGGTTCCCCAGGTATCTCCACTTCCCTTCTTACCTCCTGTGTATCTAAAGTCACTTTAGGCTCAGAGTGTCTGTGTTCATTATCCCGACTCATGGCTGCTTTGCATAAGCTGTGGCACTTTGGATTCTATTTTTTGCCTTTGAATTTCTGAATTCCACCTTAATAAAGGTTGTTTTGTCATTGAAATAATAGCTCCAGGACAGAATAAACGATGGAAGACAACAGCAGCTCAACCCTGATAACTTACTGTAGCTCATTGTACCAGTGAAAGGAAGAGAAAAAAAATCATGGATGACCAAGGCCTTACATGGGACTAATCATCAGCACACGGAGGAAGTTGCATTGTTGTGTAGTTAGACGAGAGGAGGCTCCAAATCCAGGACATGAGGCCACGATGAGTAAAGAGCTTTAACCTGGCAGAAGCACAATCTAAAATGAAACAAAAGCCCAGTGTACAAACAGAGGAGCTTCTAACTAACACACAAAGTACGAGAGAGCAGTGGTGGGACCAAGTCATTGTTTTGCAAGTCTCAAGTAAGTCTTAAGTCTTTATCCTCAAGTCAGAGTCGAGTCTCAAGTCACTGGTGTAAAAGTCGAGTAAAGTCACAAGTCTGAAACTTTGAACTTCAAGTCCTTTCGAGTCTTTAAAAAAACAA